AGTGTTGGTTTTTCCGCAGAATGTCTGACTGCTCAAGCTGCAAATTCACCTTCCTAGAGGATGTGTCATGTGAAGAAAAAGGGCCTTCAGGGCCTATTCCAGCTGACCCAGGGCCAAAGCCAGTGAGAGAAGGCTCATTTCAGTGCTCAACCCCTGGTCAGTGGGAGGAGACATAGGATCTGTGATGAGGCTCGTCAGGAGTGCTGGCTGGGCCTTGGGGCTGTCCTGGTGTGTGGGGTTTCCTGCTGGGATTTCTGCTGATGGTCCATCTTCTCATAATGCAGAGGGGGAGGATGGCTTTCACAGAAGCCAGCTCAGGCCTGGGCTGCAGAAGATGAGAATGTAAATGAGGTCCTGAAAGTACATGTTTCCCCAAAATATGACAAAGTCCTAATCCCAGATCTGTAAGCTTGTTTGGAAAGGAAATCTGTGCAATGATACTGAAGGTCACATGAGGCCACGTGGAGCTGACAGTCTTGAAGAGTGTCCTAGAAAAGAGATGTCAGTTGTCCCAAATACCCAGCCAGTGCTCTTTGAGGCCACCCAGAGTTCAGGTGGCTTGCCCACTGGCCTCAGAGGACTAGGGGAACCTGGGCCGGGGAACCACCCTGTGGATATGCAGACTGGGGCTGTGGGAATGCTTGTCATGCAGCTGTGAATGGGGGTGGGTAGCTGATACACCCGTGACTCCTCTCCCCAGCCAGCTCTTGGTCGGAATGCAGATGAGGCCCTTTCTCAGACCTCCTCTGCTCAGAGCAAGACCAGAAGGTGGCAGACGGCAAGAACCTCCTTTTCCCCCTGTTGTGGCTCCCTATCCGAGACTGTAGGGACGCTGACACTCTGCTTTCGGCCCCTCCTGGACTCATGTATGCCACCCTGCAGAGTGGCCTGGCTGCCCTTCCCTCGGGCGCGTGGGCGTTGGGCCTCGTGGCTGGAAGCCGGGGTGCTGGGAGGGGGTCCTGGCGCAAGGCCAGCACAGCTGTTTCTGACTCACAGCCCCAGGCAAGCCAGCACATGGCGCACCACACCTGCTCAGAGCCCCCTGCCCACACCTGCCACCTTGCCCTCTGCCATCCCAGGAGTTTTGGCTGCCGTTGGACAGCCAGGGTGGGACTGGACCCAAGTGACCACCCCTTCCAAGAAAGTGACAGATGTTAGCACTCACGCATCCTACCCACCCGCCTGCCCCCTGCAAACAGATTTCAAAAAATGAAAAATTGGAGTAAATGAAGGGTATGTGATTTGCTGAGGGTTCATGCTGAGTTGTTTAGGGGTGCATGGAGAATGACAGCTCATGCCAGGGACAACTGGCCAGTGGAGGGGGGCTGCCAGGCCAGGGTGCCCAGGGACAGCTGGAGAAGGTGCTGACACGGGACTAAATCTCCGGTGACACTGTCCCACAGCTGCTGGGCACTCTGCCAGTCCCTGCTTCCAAAGGCCCCAGGGCTGCCTGGGGGTGACTGTAGACCACTCCCACTGGCCGGCTTGTCCACTCTTGTGACGACTGCTCCCCTTGGGGACTCTCCGATCTCCTCTCTCTTCCTCTCCCCACAATCTTTCCCCAGCTTTGCTGAGTACACTCAGCTTTGAGTGGACATTTCTCCTGGTCAACCTGGCAGTTGGCGCCCACACCTCAGTCTCCTGATGGTCCCCATTCTGTCTTTTCTCACAGAGCTCCCAGCTTGAAACTAGGTCTCAGGAGCTGGTTTCAGGCCCTCTGTGCTGGTCAAAAGTCTCTCTGAGTAGGGGGACTGTGACGTGTGGGGTTCAGAGGCAGCAGCTTGGGATCTCCCTGGTCAGTGGCCCTGTCCTTGAGGCTTTCAGGGAAATTTGGCGTGTTTTTAAATTCACTGTACATGAGAAACTCTGGTGGCCTAGTGATAAGAAGCTGCTGTAGAATCTCAAAAGCAGATGGTCCAAATCCATCAGTTGCTCAATGGGAGAAGAATGGGTAGTCTCTTCTCATAAGATTTACTGTCTCTGAAAACCCAGATCAGTTACGGGTCAATTCCAGCGATGCATACAACAACAACAACGTACATTAGGGGGGTGTTATCAGGAGGAACACCCTCCAGGAGCTGGACTGATGCTGTGACTACAACCACAGGTTTGAGCACAACAGACACTGGGAGCAAGTTTTGTTCTATTTATGGGATCACTAAAAGTTGGAGCTGACTCCACGGAACCTAAGTCCACTCTTCCTAGAGCATAAATGGTCACTGCTGTCGAGTCCACTCTGCCCCATGGAGCCTCTCTAATGGGTTTCCAAGGCTGCAGAGAAGAGAGCCCATCTTCCTCCTGAGGAGTGGCTAGTGGATCTGAACCACCAACCTTCTGGTCAACAGTGCATATCAAATAGAATTTCCAAGCCACTGGACATGCCTCAAAATAGACTGAGAGGGAAGTTGCAAGTGACATGTCCTCCTCCACCAGGTGAAAGCAACCCCTTCTGGGGATTTCCACAACCTGGGAGCACTTTTAATTAAATTCAGCTGCAATGGGCCAGCGCCCAGCCCCAGCCAAGCCCACACCCTGACCGGCTCTGGCTCCTCATGGACTGGGCACTCTGCAGTCAGGGGCCGAGGAGGCCAGCCCCTCAGGAAACACGCTGTCCCCCAACAAACCCTTCCGCTTCTTGCGCCCACCCGGGGCAGACCCTGAGAGGGAGTCTGGGCCAGGAGTGGGAGGTGGGAACAAGGGGCCTTTTTGTTCCACACAATGCGTCATTGTCCCCTCTCCAGGGACAATGCAGCCCCAGGCGAGGGGAAGTAGAAAACAAAGCCTTCTTTGTGAGGCCCATCCCCACCTGTACCACAGTGCCCAGGGTCACACCTGATGGAGGAGCTGTCCTCCTGTGCTCTGGGTCTCCTGAGCAGCTCAGGCATCTGGGTGGAGACCCAGAGTGGGTTGGGTCAGACTGTGAGGGCTGAGTTCCCCCTGTTCTTCCCACAAGGCTGTGCCCGCCTTACACAGGCTGGCTCCCAGATAGTGAGATGGGGAAGTATGGATGGCGGGTTGCATCCGCCTGCAGAGTGTGGACTGGGCTAGCGGTCTCTCAGAGTCCTGGGGTGGGGGTCGCCCTGACTGCAGGCTCTGAAGGATTCAGTTACTTGTGGCCATTGCAACATCACTGCTAGACTGAGCTTTATAGCTGCTTCCAACACAAATAAAACAAATTCCCCTGGCACTGAGTTGTTCTTGACACATAGTGACCGTGTAGGAAAGAGTACAGTTGTCCCCTAGGATTTCCAAGGCTATAAGTCTTTACAAAAGCAGACTGGCTCCTCTTTGTCCCACAGGTGGATTCAAACTGCTGGCCTTTTTGATCAGCAGTCAAGAGCTTAATCATCATGCCACCAGGTTTCCAAGGTCAAGGGAAAGGAAACTGCCAAGTGAACAGACACTCATTGCCTTTACATGTGAGAGGCTAGAGGCTGGGAGGGAGTTTCAACACTGGACAGTCAGTACCGTCTTTACGGAGCTCACTCTACAGGTTGTGAAGGCACAACTGAATGAACAATAAAGGTGTATCATAGCATCCCATGTTCAATACGGTCTATGTCAAAACACTTAAGAGTAAAATGGAGAGATTAAAAATTATCAAACACACTATAGATTTCCAGAGGCCTAAACAAATCTGTCTTGGAGGAAATAGATTCAGAATGTTCCTTAGAGGTAAGGGTGGCATAACTTTGTCTTATGTACTTTGCACAATTAGGAGACACCAGTTTCTGGAGAAGACATTGCAAAAAGTTGATACAGTGGTTGTAACAATGCTCTCAGAGGTAGCAGTGTTTGTGAAGATGGTGAAGGACCTGGCAGTGTTTCACTATGATATACAGAGGGCCACTGTGAGTTGGAGTGGCACCTAACAGTGGCACAGATATGTAACAAACAGAACGACCAGGGTAAATAAGTGTAATAAACACGAAAGGAAAAAGGTTTTCATAATTAAAGAGCTCTGATAGTAAATAACCCACCGATGATTTGCTTCCAGTTTGACTCTAGGGTTGTGATAACAATCTTTTCTCAAACGTCTCTTGCTCCCTTCTAATGACCACCCACAATGCCTCTTTCTGCTTTAAGTAGCCTCCCTTGCGCTTATCCATTCCTCAGAACGTGAGGCAACTATCACTTTGGCCAAAGTTCTGCTTAGTCAGCAAGCTCTTCCCTCGTGGAAATCCTGGGTGCACCCTTCTCCTGGCTTGGGGTACAGCAGTCCACAACGGGAGCTCTGTAGTTTGAGCGGATACTCGAGGTTTGGGGCTGGAAGGTGAGCTGCAGGATCTAGCTGACTTTAAGGGCGCAGTCCCCGTTTCTACTCTTCCCAACTCTGCAGAGAGCGAATATGGAAATCAGTACGTTTCAAATGTACCAGATACTCTTGCTCACACATTATTCTAGTGAGGCAGCCTGAGAGGCCCGGAGTAAAACACATCTTCCAAAGTGTCCCTCGGGATGGGGGGACCCATGAGTGCTCAACTGTCAAGGTTGATCCTCCCAGGATGCTGACCACGCGACCCAACAGTCTCAGTCACACTTTAGCGGTCCTGTCGATGTGTTAACCTCCTAAAATGAGGGATCTGTGAGAGCAGGCGACGGGCACAGAGTGGACTGAGGAGTGTGAGGCAAAAGGGAATCTCCGCTGTTTATTGGTGGAATGAATTGAATGAATGAACATGTGCACAAGTGACAGGGAGGTGGTTGCTTTCCTGCACAGATACTTAGGTCCTGTCAGGACCTTTACTAAGGAAGTTAATTCTCACTGCAGCAGCGCCGCACACAGCCTGAAGGAGGAGCGTAAGTGCCCCTCACACGTGGGCGGGACCGGGAAGTGCGGGGGCGGGGCTACCTGGAATATGAGTGAGACTGGTGGGATGAGTGGTCGAGGCTAGGAGATGGGGCGGGACTTGCGGGTAGAGTAGGCGGGCCTATCTGGAATGTAGGCGGGGGCATTGGGTATGGTGGGCGGGGACTCCGAGCGTGCGTCGCCCTCGCTCATGCGTCTTGAAGGCCCGGTAATGGCGGCACCCATGGCGTCGCTGAGAAAGCGAAGGCGCGGCAATGAGGACGCAGAGACTGAGTCTCCACCCGTGCCGGTGCATAAGCCTTCGAGCTGCCCAGCCCGCCTCCTCCCGGGCACCTTTTGGCTGACCCGGATAGTGCTCCTGAGGGCCCTGGCCTTCATTTACTGTGAGTCCGCGGCAACCGGCGGGCTTCCACCTGTGCGGCCGCATCTCCCTGCCCAGAGCCCCAGTGCTCAGGACACGCCCCATCACGGGCACCCTACTCCCCACGCACATGTGCCCCGCACCTACCTCCTCCCCGCGCGCACACCTGTCCCACGCACGCCTGCCCCGCACATGCCCTCCCCCCCCACTGGTTCTGTGCATGCACCCCTCTCCGCACACGCTTCCACCCATCAGTGCCCCCTTTCTGTACACCCCGTCCCCCGCATGCACCCTTTCGCTGTGCAAAGCCCCCTCCCCTGTTGCACACCCTCCAGTGCACGTGTCTTCTTCCCACGCACACTTCCACCCCTCTGTGCGCTTGCCCCTTCCTGCGCATGTATCCCCTCCCCACATGCGCCCCACTACACCCCAGGATGCGCCCTCCCTTCCTTGTCACCGCCTCTAGTGCCCTTGGGTTCTTGGCAGGTGAAACCACACCAGGATCACCTTGGCTTTCCTTTACCCGCCTGGAGCCCACAGAGGTCCCTGCCAAGAATTGATGCCAGTATTGGGCTTCCCAAAGCCTGGCACAAGATAGTGGGTGGCAGCCGCAGACCTCTATTTCAGAGGCTCAGAGAAATCTCCACCTGGCTTAGCGGAGCGCCAGCTAAAGTCACCCAACTTATTAGTGCAATAAGTGCTTGAGGCCTCCCTTGCAGACCTGGGCAGAACTGGATGAAGCCTGGGTTTCCTGGAGAAGCACCCCTCTACATTGTAAATACAGACTATCAACTACTTCTGTTGTTGTTAGGCACCCAAATTGAGTCAAGTGTGACTCATAGTGACCCTACAAACAACAGATCTGAACTCTGTCTGTCCTCTCTTGTCCTATCATACTGACATACCTGAGCCCATTCCTGCAGAAAGTGTGTTGATCCATCTCATTGAGGGTCTTCCTCTCTTCTGCTGGCCTTTCTATGTATGATACCTCCTAAAAACATACCCTAAGGAACTCTGATGGGAACCCAAAGGCAGTCCTTTTGCCAGAGAAAGGTGGGCATTCTTCCCCCATCTGATTGACAGCCTCTGAAAACCTGATGGAGGGTCTGTTAAGAGTCAGTTCTGATTTGATTTCGTATAACAACAAAAACATGTCCAAAGTGTGTGACTTTGCCATCCCTGTCTTTAGGAAGCACTTTAGCTGCACATACTTCAAGATGTACCTGTTTCTTCTTTTGACAGTCCATGGGGTATTTCATACTCTTCTCCAACATCACAACTCAAAGGCATCTATTCTGGGTAAATTCATAAGTACCCCCACCTCAGTAAATACAGAAACCCCTTTCTCTTTATAAACATAGGGGTACACCATTCCCCTGTAAGCATACAAGCACATGCTGTCCCTATAAGTGCAGGGAGGTTTATTACTGGGTCTTGTGGATGTTGACAAGTTGACAAGTGTACCCTGCCACAGATACTAAGAGAACCTTTCAAGGCTCCTGAAGGCTGAGCCCAAGGGCACACTCATGGCACCTCTTGCAGCGCCTCCGGTGCTATCAGCTAACCTCACTTGCCAGCAGCCTAGAGATTTTGAGGGAGGAGGGGTCACTTTTCTGACTTCATCATGAGTGGGAGTCTCATCCCCCAGGGGAAAGCCTGGAACCTACTTAAGCTTGGATCTTGACTGACTGAACACTGAACCCCATGAGGAGCAGACCTCTGAGGAGAGAGTTTGAATCTCCAAATCTCCAGCAACTGACCTGTGCAGGTGCAGCTGCTTTTTCCAGCTTCTTCCCAATCCCAGCCCCAAACCCCCAGCTTCCACTTGGAAGCTCTTGTGAGTGCAGAAGTGTCCCTGAGTAGACACTACCTAGGGGGTAAACACTTACGCTGCCAACCCAGAGGCATACAGGTTCAAATTCACCAGCTTCTCCACAAAAGAGAACTGGGCATTCCCCTCCCATGTAATTTATTATCCCTATGGGCTGGTTCCAAATGGATGGCACATAACAGCCAACATCTAGCTTACAGATTGGTGGTTCAAATCCCTCCAGAGCTTCTTCAGAAAAGATGCCAGACCCCAAGTTGTTGTTGCTATGGCAGAGTCAGATCCGACTCACAGTGTCCCCATGTAGGACAGAAATAGCACCTCCCGGTCCCGCGCCATCTTCACAATCTCTGCTGTGCTGTGGTCACTGTGTCAGTCTGTGCCCTTAAGGGTCTCTGTCTCTTTCACTGACATTCTACTTTTCCAAGCATGATGACCTTCCTCCTCCAGAGATTGGCTTTTCCTGTTAACATGCCCAAAGTGTGTGAGCTGAAGTCCCACCCTCCTTCTTTTTAAAAATATTTTTCTTACCCTCCTAGCTTTTAAGGGGTACTCTGGCTGTCCTTCTTCCCAGACTTACTTGGCTGGTGCTGTATTCAGTATTGATTACCAGCCCAGTGGGGCTGTTCCATTCTGTACACATGGGTCACAAAATGTCGAATAAGCTTAGTGGGTTTGGGTTTGGTGTTTTGGGGAGTATGGGCACACTAGCAGATTCTTAAGAACCTGTTCAACAAACCTATTTGTACCAATCACAACCAAACTCTCCAACCTTCTTAAAGAACTTAGAAATGGGAGAGAGGACCAGGCTGAGAGCCCACATGGTCTGGGGTAAGAGGGTATTCATCCTTCCAGAGTGTTGTCTAGAAGGTGCTGGTCTAATGGACAGCTCAGGCGTTGGAACATTTCAGAGTCTCACTTCTCCATCTCCTACTTGGAAAGTGGGAAAGATCCGCTTAGCTGCCATTTATATCCCCATGGCATCACTGTGCATTCGAATTCTGTTTTGTGTTTCATTTAAGAACTCGGACCCCTTCCTGGTCCACGTGGAAGGCTCGGGTCTTCTTACAAAGCCTTTCTGGAAGGATCCAGGTTACTTTGGGCTTTCAACACAGTTTGTCTTTTAAAATTTTTAAAAAATTTATCCCCAAAATAGGTTTTCCTGTGCTGCCTCCTCTTGTAGAATGTGGAATAGTCAGTCACCCCGGTGAGCTCTGGCTGTCACTCAACAAAAGATGAGTCCAAGATCAAGCTAAGCTCTGAGACTTTAATGGACCTCTCCAAGGGTAGCTGGGCTACCGCAGAAAACACAGCTTTATAGAAAGGGCTCCAGGCTGGTCCCTGGCTCAGCAGTTGCCTTTGATCTCCACAGGGATTCTCCCACTCAATTCAGAGAGAAAAGACTCCGCAGCCCAGGGCGTAGCAGGTACTCTGGGCTCAGTGCTGAGCATACAGATTAGCTTTGACATAAACGTGTTTCCCTCTTATTTGGAGAATAAGTGTATCTAAGGTCTGTTTTATCGGGTGCTTGTAGAGTTGGCTGTAAGTCATAGCAAGGGCGTGTGTCGGCCCATCTCTCTGAGGGTCTTCCTCTCCTCCGCTAACTCTGCTTTTCCAAGCATCACAACCTTCTCTAAGGACTGACCCCTCCTGAATTGTTTATTTAGTTAAGGAATCAGTTTCTCGAACTTCAAATGCAGTGGCTTTCTGACAAGGGGGCGGCCATCCAGCATTTACCATCTAGTGGGTGGGGCAGTTCACAGTGTCAGGCTGCAAGCCTGCAGATTCAGGCCGGCACTCTGACTCTTCCAGCTGGATTCACCAGCTCTTCGGGAGAGAGGTGAACAGACTCCCTCTAAAGACTTACAGCCTCGGAAACCTGAGGGAGGATTGCCATAGGTAGGAACCAACTCACCAGCTGGGAGTTTGGGGGGTTCCAGTGGCGCCCTGGTGGCGCAGTGGTTAAATGCTCCATTGGTCGGTGGTTTGAGCCCACCAGCCATTCAGCAGGACAAAGGCGGAATGTCAAGAAAGCAGCTGCTTTAACTACTGTGCCACCAGGATACCTCTGTAAAGACAACCTTCGCAATACTTGGGGGCAGTTCTACTTTGTGGCAATAGTTTGTTTTTAATAAGTGTTCTGAAAGTGCCTGGTGGTGGCATGTTTAAAGGACTCAGCTGTTGACCAGGAAGTCTGTGGTTCAAACATCATCCGTGGGAGAAAGACAAGGTTTACAGCTGCAGAAGCCTTGGGGGGCAGTTCTCCATCCTACAGGACTACTGTGAACTGGAATCAACTTCAGGCCACCACCAACAGAGGAGTCTAGGTTTCACCAGGAATGAGAGCGCTGCTCGTTCCGCAGCCTCCTGAGATGCCTGTGGGCTTCTCCAGATAGATCATTGGATGCTGTTGACGGAACTGTCATAAAAGCATACCAGATGTATTCTGTAGACACACCCCTTGGGAGAGGGTGCTGAATTTGTTTAAACTAAACCCGTGTGAATTGTCTCAAAGAGCCCATCACAAAAACGCATGTCAATTCAAACTCACAGTGACCTGTAGAACAGAGTGGAACTGCTTCTTAGGGTTTCCAAAGCTCTAATCTTCACAGAAGCAGACTGCCTTATCTTCCTCTGAGAATCTGGTGGGTTCGTCCAAACTCATTGCACCTTTGGGGTCCTGGTCACTCAGCTCTCTGTCGGAGCGCTCTGGAGGACACAGTGGGGGCACAATCATACCCACAACCATCTGAAATGCTTGGCTGATCTTCTTTGGGGAATTTGAGAAGCCAAAACACATTTCACACCGAGCCTCATTCTGGGCTGTTTTGAACGTTTGGTGATTCTGAAAGGTTGAGGGGATTTAGACCTGTCTCCTGTTTTTGCCTCTCCAGCTCTAACTCGCCAGTCTCCTGGGTTTACAGGCTCTTGGTTAATGTTAAAAAAACAAACACAGCCACCTTGTGCCAGCTCTCCTGTAGTACATACGTCCCAGAAGATGACTGAAGGTCATTGTGCGTGGTCCAGCCGTGGGACCAAGAACGACCTTCCTCATTATCCTCCTTGGTGGGACCATGGAGTCAGTTCCCACTCAAAGCAACACTGTGAACAGTAGAACCGTCCCTTGAGATTTTCTCCACTGTCATGTTTATAGAAGCAGGTCTCTGGGCCTTCCCTGAACTGAGCTCTGGGCTGGGTTTATACAAAGAAGCTTAAACCCCAAGGGCAAACTTGAGGTAAAATCCGACTCCTGTAACCCTCCATCCAGTTAAGTCTTTACTGAGAATGTGACCTCATTTTTCTCTAGGTGGTTTCAGACTGCTGATCTTTTCAGTAAACAGCCATTATATTATGCACTGCACCACCAGGACACCTTACAGAAAGAGCCCTTAGCCCATTCTGTTAGGAGAAAGAGGGTGTCAGAGAGCAAGACTTGAGTGCTGGGAGCCCTCACGGCTAGTGGGGTGTCACTGCAGCCAGATACTCTTAGCGGACAGAGCTAATCAGTTCCCACCACAGAAGGAGGGAGAGATCCGCTCCTGCCGCCATTCACATTTTCCTCCAACCTCGTGTACCTGAAAGGGTGGAGGGACAGTGCAAGAGAGGAAGATGCTGGATGAAACAGACTGACTCAGTGAGTAGGGTAATGGGGTAGGTGTGTCAGAGACAATGAAACTGACTCAGGATAGAGCAGGGTTCAGAGATGTCGTACGTAGGGTCACAATGACTCGCAAGTGACTCAACGGCACATAACAACAACCCAGCACCTGTGAGGGAAAACCCCGCCAACGAAACCCCAAACAACCAGCGTTATCTACACAGCCTTCCCTGTTTGGGAGTCATAAAATTTTTCGAAGACGTTGAGAAGGAACCCAGAGTTCTAGGATCCACAGTTTGGATCAGAACCCCTTAGTCAGACCCTTCTGTTTCCTTCTATCCCCAGCCAGCATGTACCCTACATCCTTCTGTCCCTGTTCACGCTCCTGCATCTCCTGTTTTTTTTCCAGTCGTGGCATTCCTCGTGGCTTTCCACCAGAACAAGCAGCTAATCGGGGACCAGGGCCTGCTACCCAGCCGTCTGTACTTGAAGAACATCTGGCAGCATTTCAAAGGCCGGGTCAACTGGGAAGCACTGAGCTACGCGCCCACTGTCCTCTGGTTCTTGGACTGGTCAAACATGGACACTAACCTGGATGTCCTGGCCCTGGTTGGCCTGAGCATCTCGTCTTTCATCCTAATAGCTGGCTGTGCCAACATGGTCCTCATGGCCACACTCTGGGCTCTCTACATGTCGCTGGTCAACGTGGGACAAGTTTGGTAAGTGGGGGAAACTGAGGCAATGCCACAGGACATGCATGGGCATGGAACACGTGTGGAGTGCCGTGGCCAGGGCTCCAGCTCAGCTCATTCTCTTCTTAAGCAGGCTGAGCAGTCCCCCTGGAATCTGGGGTAGTACAGGTAGGGAGATGGCGCGGCTGCTCACGCAAAGGTGGAGGGTCGAGTCCACTTAGAACCACAGAAGAAGGGTCTGGCAATCTGCAGAAAACAGGCCCCGTGGAGTGCAGCGCTCCTTCCATGTATCTACAGTCTGTGCTGTATTCCTCCCAGGCTGGTGGCTCATCTTCCAGAGCTCCACTGGTCAGTACTCTGTAGGACCCACCCAGGGAGCACCACTGCCTGGTTTTCAGGCCTTTCTTCTGAGTTTCTTATGTAAAAGCTCCCCTGAAGCCTGTCCATCACAGGTGACCCTGCTGAGCCATGGTTTCCAGTGTCCCAGGGCCATGCAGGCCCACAGTGCAGTCCTTGATAGTCAGGGCATTTGCTGGTCTTGCTGGGAAAAGAATTATACAGTGTGTAGGGCCTTGGGTTGGGTTCTCTGGAAGCTAAACCAGTGAGGCTTATGTACACATAAATCACTTACTCACTGGCGTTGAGTTGGCACTAACTCCCAGTTACCCTGCATTGGGCTCCCAAGGCATAAGTATCAATGGGAGACTCCCGTTTCCTTTTCCTGAGACGTTGCTGGTGAATTTGAAGCACTAGCCTTTGTCATTGTTACGCGCCACTATGGACACATGGAGAGATTTATTTCAACAATGTGGCTCACATGCTTGTAGAGGGTGGCAAGTCTCAGTTCTGTGGCTTGGATCATAGGAGAGACGCATCTGGGGAGACCATGTCATAAGCAGGCAGGGTCTCAAACTGCAGGCTTCAGAGGCTGATGAGTCCAGAATCAGCAAGTACGACCACTGGTTGAAGTCTGGGGGGTCACAAGCCACAAAAAAACTCCTTTGCTTTGCCAGAATCCACACATACATTCAGTATCTAGCACACCCCTGAGGAGAGGTCCCAGCATCCTATAAGGCTGATCCTAGCTCTGCAGAATTGCCTTTGTTGCTGTTTGACTAACATCACAGAGGATAGGATTTACAGCACGTGGGCAGGTTACACTATGCTGAGAATCATGGCTCCTCTGACACATGATAGTAACCACCACATGTAGTCATATTTTATGTGGAACAAGGGTCTGTGTTTTGGTGGGACAGGCTTGGAGGAAGAGGCAGAGCGTTGTCTGGGACACGCTCCAAGTCATGTGAAGACTTTGTGGTCCAATGCTTTAGAGCCTTCCTTCCCCGCCCCCCAGCTTGTCTTCCTTGGAGTTAAAAATAAGTCCCAGCCATTGTACATCTTCCCTGTAAATGATTCGTATCTCTAACAGGTGAGGGGTTATCGACAGAACTACCTAGACCTCAGCACCCTGACCCAGTAGAGAATGAACGGCATTTCTTTCTCCCCGCCCCCCTTTAGTTTTATGGTCATTTTAGTGAAAGTTTATAAAGCACACTGATTTTCCATTCAACTGTTCATACCCATTTTGTTTTGTGGCATTCATCACAGCACCCACAATGTGACCACATACCTCCTACTTCCTCCCTGGGGTTCTCATCTCCATTCATCCTTTTATCTTACCCATCCTGCTGTATGAACTTCCTTTCTGAGCAAATGCTGTCCTTTTGACTCTATCTATATTAGTCATAAGTTCAGTGGTCGGTTGTCCTAAGGAGAGAGTACCACTCTGATACCCTAATTCCCACGTCCCTAATTCTATCTAGGCTATCCCACAGTAGAGCAGTCAGTAGTAGTAGCCAGGCACCATCTGGTTCTTCTCGTCTCAGGGTCTGGAGGTTGAGGTTTGCACGGTTCATCAGTCTTCTGTGCGTCTTTGCTCCTTTTCCCTCTACTTTGTTTCTCATATGAAGAGACCAGCAGGGAGTGTGTGCGCGCGTGCGCGCATGTGTGTGTGTGTGAATTGAGATTTTAATGAAAGTTTATAGAGAGCTTGGATTTCCATTCACTCATTGTGGCACATTTTCCTCCCTGCCCCCACCGTGGGTTCGCTTTTCTCTTTGAAAACTGTTCTTAACATTGTTGTACAAAGAGTCGAGCAGTTTTACTTCACAAGTTGTTCAAACATCCTTTCTTAAAAGCAGCTTCTACTCAGCTCTCCCCAGTCACCTCAGACATGTCTCTTCTGCTGTTTGTCTTCTCTGTTCTTTCTTTTTAATTCTGGAAAATCATAAACACCTCGGGATGGGAAGGCACATGCCACGGTGACCAGCTCTCTCACCAGTGGACCCTTCTCAGCTCTGGGCCATGCCGCCTTCTTTCCCTGGCTGCCTCCCCTGATGCCGACGCTGTCATTTCATTCATCCATATTCCATCAGGCAGCTCATTTCCTTCCCGGTAGCATTATTGAGATAGAATTTGCATACCATAAAATTCACCCATTTAAAGGGGATTGCTCAGTAGATTATAAGGTAATTATGACAGTGTCTGTCCATTACCTCTCTGGTTCTTCTGTAACCACTGGTCCACTCCTTCCAGAACATTCTTCCAAACAGAAATCTGACCCAGTCCCAGTCAAACTCCATTCCCACCTCCCTCCAGCCCCTGGCCCACTAACATAATTCTTGTCTCTATGCATTTGCCTGTTTGGGCCTGTCATAGTTATTCAGGCTGCTGTAACAGAGATGCTATGCTGCACTGTCTCAGTCATCCAGTGCTGTTGTAACAGACACCACAGTGCACTGTCTCTGTCATCCAATGCTGCTGTAACAGACACCACAGTGCACTGTCTTGGTCATCCACTGTTGCTGTAACAGACACCACAGTGCACTGACTCTTAACAGCAGTCTTCCCCTAGATCTAGGAGGATCTCTGTTTAGGGATGTGCTCCAGTCCTGGCTCTTCTTTCTTGGTGGTTCTGAGGTCCTTATCTGCTAGCTTCTTTCTCCTTTTATGTCTTGTAAGATAAAATGTGATGTGAATCAGACTGCAAGGAAACACCCTTTACATCACATTTGACCTGTGACTGAGTAAGAGTGTTGTACTCCACGTGAGTCCCTTTACATCTGATTGGCTTGCACATCAGATCACATCACAGGAGGGTGATGACCTCATTCTATAACTGCAAAATGGCCTAGGCATGTTCACAATGTTTTGGCAGACACAGTGCAGTCCATGGTATGAGAAAGCCAACTTGCACATGCCTCATTATTGCAGATATCGCTTTGTCTGAGTGATGTGGGACCAAACACAGATTGTCCTTCAGATTTGGTTGTGTGACATTTTAGTGCACTCATAGCAACCCTGCATTACTGATTAGAACTAAGTGTGACCAGGTGTTCATGGAAGCAAGCTACCAGGTATTGTCCCTAGGAGGGGTCAAGCACCATGCCTTTAGATACGCAGTCAGGTACTATTTGAGAACAAACAGATTTGTCCTGGAGAGGGTGAAGCCAGAATGCTTCTTGGGGTCAAGGATTCTGAAGCTTCATCTGACATACTTTGGGCATGTTGCAAGGAGGGACTGGTCCTTGGAGAGGGACGTCATGTTTGGCAGAGTGGAAGGGCCGTGAAGGAGAGGAAGACCTTTGATGAGATGGATCGATTCTGTGACTGGAGCGGTGGGAATAAGTGCGTATGAGATGACTAGGTTGGCACAGGATAGAACGGCATTTAGAGCTTTTGCACATAGGGTCGCTATGAGTCGCAAACGACTTGATGGCACATAACAGCAACAACAACAACAACAACTATTTGCACCACCCCATAGGCCTGGTATTGCTCATATTCACTCATCCCCCAAAGTAGATTTCCACTCCTCTTTAGGGGGGTAGCCCCATATAGGCTGTGAGAGGTCAGGGTGAAGGCATGGATTTGCCCGACCTCCTGCACTCTGGATGGTCTGGCACACAACTTGACTCCATGTCACTTGCCTGAGTACCTCTGACAGCAGATCTCCCCCCCCGACGGCACTTTGGCCAGTACTTAGGGTAGCTGTCAGCTCTGCCCTGAGCAGACTCTGTCCTGGTCACTGGGTAGTCAGGAGACTTACATGGTGGGTCAGCAGGATACTCTGATGGGGCAAATGTGCCTGGAGAATCGAGTCAGAATCCTCACACTGCCTCCTCCTTTTGTGTTTCAGGTATGCATTTGGTAAGTGAAGATCACATTTAATGATGATGTTCTAAGAGATTAGCATTGAGTGTTGGGGTATGTATCTTTTAATTTATGCATGAGATCTCTGGTGTATATTATGTATCTGGTTGTAATTTATATTATGTATCAGTATGTATCTTTTTCTGAGCAGGTGTCAGGATATGTATCTTTTAATATGTATATTATATGTCAGAGTGTGTATTTTCCGATATAGATCTTTTATGTAGAGGTCCATCTGCATCAGTAAAGACAACAGCCTTGTAAACAGGGTGGGGCAGTTCTACTCTGTCTTAGAAGGTTGCTGTGGTTTAGGATTGAGGGTGGGGTCCCTTTAAAGGGACTGCAGTTTGGAGTCTGTATAGTAGAAGGAAGGAACTCTGGTGGTGCAGTGGTTGAGTAGGAAGACCCTCGAGGTGGTGGGTTGATCCAGTGGCCACAGTGATGGGCTTGGGTACAGCTGAGATTTTGAGGATGGCTCAGGACTGGAAGTGTTTCCTTCCCTCTCATATATGGGGCTACTCAGAGTTGGAGGCAACTCAGCAGCACTGACAACAACCTTTACAGGAAGGAGGCCTGGTGGCACAGTGGAGGAAGCATTGTGCAGCAAATGCAGAGGTGAGTAGTCTGAGCCCACTGCTCATGCTCCATGACAGTCTATTTCCATAAAGAGTTGCAGCCTTGGAAATGGTGCAGTTCTGCTGCATCCTGTAGGGTCAGATGAGTCGGAACAGACTGGATGCCAATGGGTTTGGTTCTGTGGTGTAGCTTAATCTTTAGGAGAGCAGTTTGCCAGGTCTTTTCTCCCACTGAGCTGCTGGGTGGGTTCAAACCGCTGATCTTTTGGTTAGCATCTGAGTGGGTAACTTGTACCTCCAGGGCTCTTTTTTTTTTACCTCCAGGGCTCTTATGGAATAGACTAGAGAATAAGAGAGTGTGGTTCTTGTGATGGTTAATAAGAGCAAAGTGTAAAACCACTGTGGAACATTTCCGTAGAATATATTTGGAGTTTCACCTGAGGTGGAGTCCGCTGCAAACAGAAGGAACCTGGTGCAGGTGACATCTACAAATGAGAGACCAAGGACTCAAGGGTACCAGAGAGCAACAGAGCAGGTGATGATCAGAGTTGAGACCTGGCACAGAGTGGATTTCCTTAACGGCTTCAGCTGGATGGCAGGACCCTGTCGTCGTAGGGATGCCACCCTCAGAGAGAAAGTCAGTCTCCGTCTGCCTTGAGCAACCAGAAGATGAAACTCCGTGCACCTGTGGACACTGGAGAGCAGGTGGGGGAGTCCAAGAAGGAGACAGAGTCTGTGGATAACCTTTGCCCGCTCTCTGGGTGACCTCAGAACTCACACGTGTGCAAAGTCTATAGCTCGCTGCCCTTAGTCATGGCACAGCCAGAAGCCTCACCTTCCTCGATCATGTCACAGCTGAGATCCACGCTGCCCTTGGTCACAACAGAGACACAATCCATGGCGCCCTTGGTCACAACAGAGCCGTGATCCATGCCGCCCTCGGTCACGGCTAAGCTTACTTACAGCCTGACCATGCTCCTAGCTCACTCAAAGGAAAACATCAACTCCTTTCAGAGGAATATAATGGAATCCAGATCCTCCACAACTTAATGTTCACAGTGCCTGGGATACAGCCTGAAATTACCAGAGACACAAAGAAGCGAGAGACTTTAACCCACTTGAAAGAGGAGAGGCAGGACTCAGGACAGCCTGGGTACTGGGAATTGCAGGAAAGATCTTCAAAGCTGGTTTCCTGCTAACATTTAGTGAGGTCAGGGAAGTTACCTCTGATTGAATTGGAGAGAAAGAGAGGAATCTCAGCACAAAAGTAGAAAATGTAAAGAAAGGCTGACGTGCTTGTAGGGCTCTAGGGAGTCCCACCTAAGACAGAGACGTTCCATTTGTGATCTGAAACGAGGGAGCCACAGCCAGCTGGTTATGTAACTGCTGGTTCTGTGCCCTCACCTCTGGGCAGCAGCAGCTTGGACTCACGCCGACGTGAGGTCAAACGTGAAAAAGAAGAGGCCCTGGAAGGGAGCACCTGGTGGTGCAGCAGGTTAAATTCTCCACCAAATCAACTCAAACTCACACCCCCACAGGACCTCGAATAACATAATCACCTCCATGTGAGCAGCCAGTCAAGTGAAAGAGAGTTTCCTTGGGGGGATGCAGCTGTCCCCCTCGGATTTCTGGGCTGTACATCTTTACAAAAGCGGTCTACTTCGCCTACTCTCTCTATCCCAGAGAAAGGTTTGAACCACCAGCCTTTTGGCTCGCAGCCAAGCACTTTAACCACTGCACCATCAAGACTCCTTCTGTATAGAGGGAGCTGAACCCCAAACCAAATTCACTGTCACTGAGTCAGTCCTCACTCATAGCAGTCCTATAAGAAGAGCGGAGCAGCCCGTAGGGTTCTTGAGGCTGTGGGTCTTTATGGACTTGGACTGCCTCATCTCTCTCCCATGGAGTGGCTGATAGACTTGAAATGCCAAACTTGTGGTTAGCAGCCAGTGGCTTTAACCATTGTAATACCAGGGCTTCAGAGAGTCACCTCCCTTGGAGCAACTGTTGGGTTCATACTGCCACCCTTTCCATTAGCAGCTCAGTGCTTAATCCACTGCACCATCAGGGTTTCACAGCCTTGAAAGCCCCGTAGATGGTTCTCCTTGCACATGTGGGGTGGCCACGGAAGAATCAAGTGGGTGGCGACTAGCAGTAGTGAGGAGAGGAGCTCAGGAGTCCCTTGACTGGAGGGTTAAGCTCTCAGCTCACGACCTGAAGGTCCCCCGCCTCCCCAGCAACCCAGGGCAGCTGAGTCAGGACTGACTGGGCCTGCGCTAGCCACACCCCCTTCTGGTTTGAATCAAGGTTATTTGTTGTTGTTGCTGTTGAGTCAATTCTGACTCCTGGTGACCCCAAGCGAGTCCAAATTCTCCTCAGAGAAACCCCTGTTCTCCAGCATTTTGATGACAAAGCCTCTTTTCTATGCGATTCCACTTATTTATCTAGAATTGCAACATGATTTTCCCCACGTGTGGTCGCAATCAAACCTTTCCACCCCAGCTCCGCTCTGTAGTTGTTATTGGGACCGTCCACCAGAGAACTGCCCCAGGGGGCTTCCTAGGAGAAGAACATTGATGTACCATGGACTTGCAGAAGAACAAACAAATCTGTGTTGGGAGAAACATAGCCAGAGTGCTCCTTAGAAGCATGAATGACAAGACTTCATCTCATACTTCAGGCATGTGATCAGGAGCGGCCAGCTCCTGGAGTCGGTGTGATGCTTAACAAAGTAGAGGGTGAGTGAAAGAGAAGGTGACCCTTACGGAGATGGACTGTGTGTCTGTAGTGACGGGCTCAGGCACAGCAGAGTTTGCAAGGATGAGGCAGGAGCTGACAGAATTTCATCTGGACATGGGCTTGCTGAGTCAAAGCCAACTCAGAAGCACCTGGTGCCATAATTTGAATTGTGGTGGTGAAGAACATTGACTGTACCACGGATTTCCAAAAGAACACATGCTGTGTTGGGCACCTCTGCTGTGAAGGACATCTTTAAAGTGATAAAGGATATCGATTTAAATACTAAATTGTGCCTGATCTAAGCCAAGCTCTTCTCAGTCACCTCATATGCATGTGAAAGTGGATAGATAAGGAAGACCAAAGAAGAATGAAGAATTAATTCTTATTATAACACTGGGCTTGAGCACAGTGGAGATCATCAGGATGAGATAGAACCAGGTATGGCCTCAGTGTCACAGTCACAGTCGACTCAGTGGCACCTACCAACAACAGCCTCAAGAACAAGTAGACCTGACTCGGAAGAAGTTAGTCAGGGTGGCATCCAGCCTTAGAGGTGGAGATAGTGAGTTTCCTCTCACAGCCTCTAGGCAGGGTTGTTACTAGGAGACTAGTCCTTGGAGAAGGACATCATGCTTGGAAAAACGTCAGAAAATGGGAGGAAGCCCCTCAAAGGGATGGAGGGCACCTCTGCTGTGCTGGGTCCCAAGCCCCTTCTCCCACTTGCAGATAAAGCAATCACAGGCTCAGATGACTGTGGTGCAAATAGGCTGGAATTTTCCAGAAGGCAGGAAAAGCACAGCCTTTGTTGTGACCAGGCTCCTGGGATGCTGCATGCATTAAAGATCTGGCTTTGAAGACTGCACAGTGTGGCTTTGGGGACACAGGGAGGAGGCTCTGCTGGCTGCCCACTTCCTGCCCTGCAGGACGCAGACGTGCGCTCTGTCACCCGAGGAGGCCGGAGGCCTGTCACACTGCATGCTGTCCACGTGGTACGAGCCGTTTTGGAAAGGATGCAGGAACCTGGCAAGTGGGCAGCTCACTGCGGGGCAGCTGCCCCATGAGGTCAGGCTGAGATGCCCCATGCATCTGTGAGTGTTTTTGTTTCTGTATTGGAGAAAATGAACAGTTTCTACCTCCGCAAATCCCCCCTGGTGGCAGGCCTAGGCTGCAACTGGGCATCCGACCATAAGAGTGCACATGGATAAAAATGGACACTGTCAGTGGGGCGTGCACTGAAGTGACAGCAGCACCCACCCTCCGCCTTGGCCAAGGGATTGCGAGGAGCTTCCCGGAGCTGGTGGGGGCGGGGCTGCACCTGCATGGGCGGGGCCATCTGCCCTATGACTGACTGCAGCTGGGGGAACTGATAACTTGCTTCCCCCACAGGGAGGTCGACACCAGGAAGTGCCACACTGGGTGTGGTCACCCCTAATGATGCCACAGATACTAAGAAACCTCAGGGTCAGGGCCCTCTGCAGGCTCAGAAGGCTCCAAGACAGTAAGGAAGAAGACGGACACAGCCACTCCACGTACCACAGCGAAATCCTGCCCAGCCGCGCCATTCTCAGCCTCTGAGGTGCTCAAGCCCATTGCTGTGGCCCTGTAATGCTCAAGCCCGTTGTTGTGCCCATGGGTAAGCGGAGAGGAAGGTCAGTCAATGTCACAAGAATCTTCATCTTTTTC